ATGGCCCCCATTGGCCACCCCCTGGCTCCAGCATTACATCTAGTGGTGAATAAAGTTGCTCCTTCTACTCACCAGGGTCCTTCATTCTGCGCTGCCTGGTCAAGCTAAAAAAAACTCCCTCTGTTCTTCTCCACAGTGTAACTCCTACCCACCGGTATATTTTGTCCGTAAAACATCAAGGTTTAGTTGCATTCCCTGTTCAGTTCCAGTCCAGAAAAATACTCGTCTCGAAAACTACAAACATTCACCATTCAAATCCTTGAGAACGGAAGATACTGGCACACCGCTTGCTGATTTTGTGCAGTAATGTGATTGTGGTCTCTCTGTGCTCTGAAATGTCTCGGTGCTGTGATTTTGTGCCGCAGTTCAACAACGAGCCGTTAACTTGTGCTTGTAAAACCACTCCAAGTGTTTGTAGCATGGCCATCTCATTTGTGTGTCTTTTAATCCATGTCATGAATGGGTGACCTGTTCCCCCAATCCCATAATGTTTTTCTATCACAACAAAAATAAAATGTATAAGTATCATATCAGTAGTAAAAGTGTTTATCAAGTACATTTGATTCAAACATTAAGGGAATATGCAATAGACCCTGTTGACAGTTTCTAAGTCTTTTGTTCATATTTCATCTGGATACTCACCCTGAACTTGCCGTGGAATATGACATCTCGTAGAAAATGTGTCTGCCGCTTGAACTCAGGTGTTAAAGGTAGATGAGCTCCTGACTCTGCTTCTTCTGTCATGATGCAGAACGTTAAAAAACAAAACGAAGATTTGTCTGTTTCCTCTTTGAAATGTGTGTTTATATGACAAATCCGATGTCTGGAGGTGCCGCCTCTTCTCCGTGCTCGTCTCTCCTAAAGCTCCGTGTGAAGAGGTATTTCTGTCTGGAGTGTGGAGCTGCTTGAGCCGGCAGTCATGATACTTGAGACGCCACCTGTGAGCCAAGATCTAAACTTAGAGAACGATAAAACTTTGAACACCAAGTTCCCTCCCTTACTTTCTCCAGATCTGCCCACTTATAATGAGTAATGACCAAACTAATACTCCTTGGCCTGTGAGTGGTTAATGACCCCTGCAGGACCAGATGCCAGGTTTTCATTAAGGGAAACCAGGTGCGACTGGAACACTTCCTGCTTTAGTAGCTACATCTTACTGTATTTTTTATCCCACAGTTCTCAAACTTTTAGGTAACAAACCCTCATTTGTTTATTATGAAATGCACCAATTCAAATCTATTCAAGAAAATCAAAGAGATTTTAAAATGGTGTCAAACTCAAGATGGTCATCCGTCACAGGCGGAGTAGGGTGTAATATTTGGTCAAGATATTGCATAGAAAATTAGGTGAAATGCTCATATATATATATATATTTATATACTCTCTATATATGTGTGAGTGTGTAAGTAATCAGTATACTGTATACACCTTCAAGGTGGAGGTGGGAGTGCATCAAGGATCAGCTCTGAGCCCCTTTTTGTTTGCTCTGGTGATGGACTTACTAAAAGATGAGGTCAGGCAGGAATCCCCGTGAACTATGATGTTTGCAGATGACATTGTGATCTGTGGTGAGAACAGGGAACAGGTGGAAGAGAACTTGGAGAGGTGGAGGTATGCACTTGAAAGAAGAGGAATGAAAGTCAGTCGTAGTAAGACAGAGTCCATGTGTGTGGATGAGAGGGAGGAGGTGGAACAGTGAGGCTCCAAGGAGCAGAGGTCACAAAGGTGCAGGACGTTCACAGTTTTGTTTTATGTTTCTTGTTTTACAGAGCTTCACAGAGACATATTTATAGTTATTCACACTTTGCTCACTGTGGCAGCTCTTGAAGAAGGGAGCAGCTGAATGATATTGAAGAGATTTCCCCTCTCAGTAAAGGGACATGTGGCACATTTCCCTCCTCGTGGTCTTCCACTAAGAGAAGCACAATTTTCGCCTGCACCTTGTTTGTCACCAGCACTGGTGGCGGTCGTTGTTAAGCTGGACCTCGACTGATCCAGTATGACGTTGCTTGGATGAACTCGCCTAGTTATTTTAGCAAAAATTTCGTCGTATGTCCTTCTTGACAATCATTTATCTAGGCTTGGGACCGGCACAAGAGATCCAGTGGCTTGTGCTCCCAAGTAGCTGCTTTAAATCAGATATATTTAAAAAGCACATTGAAAACAGCTGCTGCTGGTCAAAGTGTTTTACACAAACCAATAAATAGTAAAAAGATAAAACCAAACAAGAGACCATAAAATAAACAAACATACAGAAACCACTATTAAAATATGACTTAAAAGACGTAAAATGATGCAAAGCTGTTAACTTTCATGCTGTATTAAAAGCCCGTGAGTACAAATCTGTACTCGCTGTAGGTTAGACTGAAAAACACCCAGAGATGGAGCTGGTCTGAAATGAAGCAGCAGCTGGGTCCAGTTTAGGAGCTGCAACTGAAAAGACCTTACCACCTCTGAAGAGTAGTCAGTACTTCAGACCAGCTACAGACCCGGTTACTTCTGTGGACCAGCCTGAACCTCAGGACAACTAAAAGCAAATATTCATTAAATGTAAGGGAGCTGGCAGCACACAACACTGCAGGAGGTTATACAGATGTAGAGGAGTCTGTACAATCAGGCCTTCAGGTTGTCCATAAAACTTTAAAATCAGTTCTAAAACAAACAAAGCCATTGAAGGGAAGCAGCACTGGTGAGATACGTGCATGCTTTTTATTGTGTTACAAGATGAGCTGCAGCTTTCTGAACTAACTGCAGTTCAGCCTGGCTAACACCAACATACAGAGCGTTACAGTGATCCAGTCAGGAGGGAATAAAGGTGTGGGTCACCTGTTCAAGGTCAACAAAGCATAAAAACCATTTGACTTTAGATAAAAGCCTGAGAGGAGCCAGTTGAGGTGGTTCAGACATGTTCAGCTGGGAGGAGACCCCGGGGAAGACCCAGGACACGCTGGAGAGACTATGTCTCTCTGTTGGTCTGGGAACACCTTGGAGTCCTCCCAGAAGAGCTGGAAGAGGCTGTGGAAAGAGATGTCTGGACCTCCCTGCTCAATATGTTGCCCCCGAGACCTGAGTTCAGAACAATAAGAGGATGGATGGATAAAAGCCTGGATTTAAAAAGGATAGCTTCACTATAAAACAAATCTGTTTCTCCAAAAGTTAAAATTCTAAACAAATATCACTTTCTGCAGCACGGTGATGCAGATGCTGCTGCCTCTCATCGAGAAGATCTCCGGTCTCCGGATCGAATCCTGGCTGGGAGTCTTTCTGGGTGGAGTTTGCATGTTCTCTCCGTGCTGCGTGGGTTTTCTCCGGGTGCTCCGGTTTCCTCCCACAGACCAAAAACATGCATATTAGACTGACTGGTAACTCTAAATTGTCCCTAGGTGAAAGTGAGAGAGAGAGTGAATAGTTGTTTGTCTTGTTTGTCTCTATGTGTCCCTGTAAAGATCTGGAGACCAGTCCAGGTCCCCCACCTCTCACATGTCAATATGAGCATCAATATGGGCACCAGTGATCCCCATGACCCAGAAAAGAAGCTGGTAAAGATAATGGATGGATGGAAGGATGGAGCCTAAGGAAAACATGTAGATGGAAAATACAATGGGCCAACAAAGGATTCTTGTGGAACTCCACATGTGAGGAGATCTGAGGAGGATACAGATTCTCTGAGGCTTACAGAGAAACTCGTGTCACACACGACTGAATCAGTCCAGTGCAGATCCTTTGACACCACAGAACTCCATCTGGGAGATCAGAACATTCACCATGTCAGAAGAGTCAGGACTGAAACAAAGAAACAGCTGAGTCTCCAGAGTCTGTAGCTAATAAAAGATGATTCAAAACTTTAAAAGTTCAGTTTTTGTTCAGGTCTTTAAAACTAGACCAAAAGATTTCAAGAATGGATGAAAACTATCCTCAACTTATCCTAAACTTTGGAAATGGAAGTTTTGATACTGACCTAAAGTCTGGGTGAACAGATGAGCTGAGGCTGAACAGCTGTGTGTTTAAAACAGACTGGAACCACACCTGAACTCAAACTGCTGTTAAAAATCACTAAACTGTCCCAAACCCAACAACATAACTTTATTTAAACTTTAGTTGGATGTGCATCATTTTGAGCAGAGGATGTCTGCACGTCATCAACTCATTTTACTCCATCTGATAAAACAGATTCAAACTGATAAAAGAGCCTGATTTGAACTCTTAGCTGTTCTTCTGTTACAATATCAGCAGATGGAGCTAAAGTTCTGCGTCTAACTTGGAGATGATGGGCGATAAAAACCAGACTGTGTTTTTTCTGTTTCTGTTTCTGTCAGTGTTCGTTTAACTGATGAATCATTGTTTTCACTGGAAACTCTGTCAAATCTGTTTCAGGATCATCGTTCTGAACTCAGAGGGGAAAAACAAATCCCAGTTTTGGGTCCAAATAAATCTACAATCTAAGAAGATGTTTGTGTGTTTTCATGTTTTATCACCAACCACTGACTGATATGTTCCATATTTTCCTAACGGAGCACTTCGCTCTCAGACTGCAGGTTTACTCGTGGTTCCTAGAGTTTCCAGCAGCAGAATGGGAGGAAGATCTTCCAGTTCTCAGGCTCCTCTCTTGTGGAACCAACTTCCAGTTTCTGTCCGTGAGGCTGACACATTGTCCAGTTTTAAGACTTTCCTTTTTGATAAATCCTATAGTTAGGGTCGGCTTGGGTTTCCTGAGCTTTCCCTTAGTTATGCTGCTATAGGCTTTGACTGCTGGAGGACAAACTGACCACACTTTTCACTCTGCTACTGTCTTTACTTACTCTGCTCAACCTGTTTTGTATTCGTAATTATTTTTTCTATCCTTAACATGTGTTTTTTGTCTTTCAGGTACACCTGGACCTATACCTGGACCTGGACCTATATCTGGACCTGGACCTATATCTGGACCTGGACCTATATCTGGACCTGGACCTATATCTGGACCTGGACCTATATCTGGACCTGGACCTATATCTGGACCT